CACTCTGTAAATTCCACAATGAGTTGATGAATATGCAAACAATCAAGTGTTTACTGACCACAATTAGCATCTTATCCAAAATGCAATTTGTGCAAGCTCGAACATCTCTCTCCTCGCCCTCCAAAAATATGAAAAATGATTGTTTGTAATCGCCATTGAAATCTGGAGAAAACGCTAAAGCCTAAATTATCGCCCCTGAAATAATTCACAAAGGGCGAAAGCAAGATAAATGCATCGTAGTGACATGAATAGGTATAAAGGTATACGTATGTATGAGTGAGTGCTACCACTGGGGAAAAGCCGGTAACGTAGTATTACAACCATCGGAAATTGAAACTGACTCGGGGCGCGTACATATTTTATTCCCACGAGTCGGTTCTGCCACCCCTTCGCCGCCCCCCTCCGTCGTACCTCACAACGTTATTCTCATGGTGAAATATTTTCGAATCTGCGGCAAAATCTCCCTCTACAAAATTTCTGGGGCTGGTAAGACAGCGAATGCATACGTCTCAATATTCATAGCTTTATGTCATTATTTTCACGGATGCATCACGATTTTGGAGATTTGGAGAAAACTGTTGCTGCAAAAATTATTCATTATTGTGGATTCTGAAAATTCAATCAAGTTATGAAATTTCCATCTCACTCCCACACCCAGAAAAATGGTTTATTTGAATTGAGTAAACTTTATTTGAATCACGTAACACGGATGAAAATATTTAATAGAAAAACCTATCGAATTCGTTAGAAAATTCTATTTAATTTCTATTGAACTGTTCTATTAGTTTTTGGCCGATTCTATTGAAATGTTCAATAGAAAATATTCACTAGAAAAAGTCAATAGAGTTGAATTTTTCTATATAACTTATTCTATTGAGATATTTTCTATAGAATTTCCTCGTCTCAAATTTTCCAAGTTTTTTCGTTTGATTTTCTTGATGAGAAGAAAAGAAAAATAGAAAAATAGAATAGAAAAAAACTTGGAAAATTTGAGTCGAGCAAATTCTATAGAAAATATGTGAAAAGAATAAGTTATGTAGAAAAATAGAATTCTGTTGACTTTTTTTATTGAATGTTTTCTATTGAACATGTCGATAGAATCAGCCATAAACTAATAGAAAGTTTAATAAAAATTAATTAGGATTTTCTAACGAATTCAATAGGCTTTTCTATTAAATTTTTTCGTGCGTGAAATCATCTATTAGAAGCAAATAAACGATTTGACCAGAATTCTTCAGTTGGAGATGATGAGTGATCAGATCGGAAATATATAAAACTGTGTAGATTACATGAATTTATGGGAAGACTTATGCTAACACTTAAAAATTTTCTCGAGACAAAAGAATTTCATCCTGTCGAAAATCTTCTTTCTTTCAGTGTGACCACAAAATTACTTACCAGGAGATTTCGTGTTTCTAGAAATTGACAAGAGACTATTTTGTATCTTGTATCAAGGAAATCATCTTCGTCGAAGGTAATTGTTCTCAGTGCAGCAAAACATGTGCTGAAATCAGTAGCGAAGTGATCGAACGTTTCAAGTCAATTTAGTATTCAGTTGAGTTTTCCAGAAATATTTCCGAATTCAAGAGAGATAGCCAGATTTTTATAATAACCTTTTTTGTAGAGCAAATTGAGTGCTACTAAAAAGGTTATGAAAAAATTTTGCCAACTCCCTTAGATTTTAAGATATTCATTGAAAACTGGCCAACAGCCAAAATCGACTTGAACCGTTTGACCATTTCGCTACTAAAATATTTACATTGTCAGAAAAATATCGAAATTCCATGGATAGTTGACTACTAATTCTCATAAAAGTGAGATTGAATTCGATTTAGGCTGAAAAAAATAATGAAATCTGGTATTTCATTGAAAATTCAATATTTTTGAACAGCGTGAACCCTAGAATTTCCGAACTTACTAAAAATGTCAGTAGAAACATAACTATTCAGCTTAAGTGCACATCAAACTGATTGAGCAGCGCATACTTCTGTCGAACAGTCACCTCAAACCATTTTCATCACTATAAAACACTCCCAGAAGGTGATAGCGATTAGGGACGAGGAACGTGGTCGTACGCTCCCGAATTGAAAACAATCTTGTAGCGCGGTTTTATCGGTAGTTAAGTAATTAGCGACACTGGTTCTCGAGTTAATCCAATCATTCGTATCTACGAACGTCCACATAGAACTAATCAAATCATCGAGTTACTGTCTGTACGAAAAACTTCAGTAGATAAACCCAACGTATTCAGTAGAGAAACCGAACGCGTTAAGTAGAAAAACCCAACGCATTCAGTAGAAAAACCCCGCGCATTCAGTAGAAAAGTCCAGTGTCTTTCCACTGAAATTGCAGCGGTTGCGCACGTGTTTAAGAAAAGAAATGATCCATAGAAACTATTGTATAAAGAAATCAATAGATTTTGATCTTCCTGCGGAGTAATTTGAATGGAATAAGCAATTCATTAGATCCAAATGAAGGATTATGACACGTTAATGAATTCGTTCTTCTCGTCAAGTAAACAAAGACATAAATTCTAATTCATAAAGTCTCTACTTGGACCAAGAAAATATTTCAATTAAATTAAATGAGTAGTTATTGTTAATTATTTACAAATAAAAAAATTGTTAATTCAATAGCGAAGTGGTAAAACGGTTCAAGTCAATTTCGACTACTGGCCAGTTTTCAATGAATATCTTGAAATCTAAGGAAGATAGCAGAATTTTTATCATAACCTTTTTTGTAGAGCCGATTGCGAGCTACAATAAATATAATTATGAAAATGTCGCTATCTCTCTTAGATTTGGAAATATTCTTCAAAAACTTAACTGGGAGATAATTCCACTTAAACCGTTTTACCACTTCGCTACTGAAATATTTATTATTCTTTATTCGGATTAAATGCTTGTTAAATATGCATGATTATTGATGCACTGAAAGAAAAAATTAGTTCTGCCGAAAAATTATACGTGTTATTCGCTAAACTAAATAATTTCGAGGGGAAAATTTTTTTTTGGAAAAAAATATTCTTTCCTCTTCAATGTGTTCTTTCTATGATATAAATCTATGGATTTCTCCCAGACCAAATGATTGTGTTACAATATTATATTTTTTCCTGCTAACAGTTCGAATTCTTCTAGGGATATTTCTGACAATCACGATAAAAATTTAATTTTAGTGCAAGACGTTAAATTTCCTTCTATCAAGTTAATGATTTCCCTCAAGTAAATTTGTTCCCCTTCATCAAATATTCTCACGCGGAACATATAGTTTATTATTAGAGTTAATTTTCTCCGTAATGTAAACGAATTTTAGGAAATAAATGGAAAAAGTTGAAACATTTAATGAAATATTCCTTTCTCCTCAAAAAACCCATTCATTTGAGTTTGAATAAAGTTGGTTACAGTCAAACCATTTCTCTCGGTGTATTAACTTCGTTCCATTGCCATTATTTCTGTAGAATTTCTTCAACTTAAATTTGCAAAATTTCTTTGCTTGAATTTTTTAATGGAGGAACAATGCTGTGAAAAATTCTGCAGGGCAATCGCTCAGAAACCTTTCCGAAATATTTCCCCGGGAAATAAATCACGCCGTCCGTAATAAGTATGACGCCTATGTCCAATCACTCTATCCCCTCCAGCCTTGAACCTATTGCTCAATGCTCGACTGTACAGAGGTTGCCAAAACTCCCGTCTTGAAGTTCGAATACTCCCATCGATTTTTCTCCCAAACTTTCGCGATACACGCACCACCCGCCAAGAGCAAAACTGTTTTACCAATGTCTGTATATATAGGCATTCCACTCTGCCCAGACCATGGCAAGAATCGACATCTTCCCCAACAATTACTGTTAGAATTTTTTTGGAAATTTCATGGAAAATATGATAGTAATTCTCATGGAAGTGACATTGAATCAAATTAAGGGGAAAACCATGGAAAGGGAAACTTGGAAGCCAAACAAGGAAACCATGAGTTTTCAGCAACTTGACTGAATTTTCAAACACAAAATGACATAAAATTCCCATTTTCTCTAAATTTTTATTCATTTTTATTTCATTAATTTTGATAGTGAAGAATCAAAATCTAAGTGCTGGAGTGAAATTTTGGTTACAATTGTAATTTAAATCCTCAATAGTTTTTTATTGAAGGAACTTTTGTCCAATTTCATATAGATTTTATTCATAATAGTTTTTGTTATCGAACAATTTTTAATGCATTTGTAATATTTTTCAGATTAAGAAGGGAGTGAATCATTTTCCTGGTTTTTATGAATTTTCTCTGAAAAATCAAGTGTTTTATTGATTTTCAGATCTTTCGCCCAAAAAATCAACGAACCATTTGGCTTCTCAATGCCAACATTTCCTGAAATTTCCTCGGAAATCGAATACGATAAAAATTTCCGGGATTCGGCCCATAAAATTCCGAAGAAAATTTTAAACAGAACTAGCAAACTGCCCGTTAGCCGAAGCGAGAAAAAAGTTAAACGAGCGTTACGCAATGATCCCATGCGCGGATTTTATATAACTCTCAACTGCTCATGTGGAAACTTCACTTGACACTTCATGTCATGAGCGTCAAGTAAAGCCAACTGAAAAGTCTCCCTCTTCCCTCAATCTTTATTAAACTCATTAATCAAGCCGATACTTCATCAATTCCGCATTAATCCCACATCCACCCCCGAAGACATCCACCCCCAGAAGAAAGGAGTCCCTCACCCCAAAAAATTCCAAACTTTTGAAATATTCTTTCCATTCATCTTGCAAGTTGCTGCAGGAACTCTTATTGTCAGATCTCAAAGCTCCCTCCCACTGGCACTCAGCGCCTTTGTACACAAGCGAATACACCAACACAGTGAAAGTAATTTTGAATCGCGTGCCTGGACTAAAATGCTCCGTTTCACACACGATAACCAATACACATTAACATTGGCTGTGTCTCTCGGTTAGGCCTTCTGCACGCCGGTATACATAGAGCCTCCAGTTAGAAAAGGGGACCAGTGTAAATCGGCCTTCTGTCGGTGAGACGTCGACAAGCCCCAGGTGGTATTGTCAACTCAGTGATCCAAAGTATTACAGGCCGTAAACACAAGGGCCCATCTTTTCACTCTGTTTCGAGCCACAAGGACTGGAAGAAAGAATTGGAGTAAAATATCTAGGCTATCGTTGTTATTGTGGTGAGGTTAGGCACAAAGGGGAGATTGCAAAGAAATAAAGAAGTCGCTGATTTCCTTGAGTTTTTCCGCTCTGCCCCTCGGCCGTTCATTTCTCTCTTTACTGACGGCAAAGGACAGTTTCATTCGGCAGAGCATACAATATAATCAATATCGTTCTGCCACTCCATTGGAAAAAAGAGGTAACTGCTCACTTTTTTTTTCACTTTATTCCCCGTCATCGGCAATAGATTGGAAATAAAATGCTGAATGAGGGCGATTTGGGAGAAATATGTTTCTAGCTGGAATTTGAAAATAGGCTCTAGCGCATATGGATCATCTAGTGACGCATCTGCGGTTATTTCTGGAACATTCGCGGACCTCTCTGGTCGGATAACTCGGGTCCTGACTGTGGGTGGAGTTCATCGAGACTCGAGTTTTCCCATTTTTCGCCTTTCAATTGCGGAATGAGATGTAGACTTTGGCTGGGATTTGTTACGAGTTTTCACTGTTATCATTTGTGGTGTACATTAGTATTTCGCTGGGATTCTTATTTTGAGTCGCGAATGAAGTTCCGTAACTTTTGTGATTTAAACTTGACGCCTGGGATTCCCAACTCCTTCGGTATGCAGCAGTCGTGTTGTACATTTTTCAACTGTGACCACGAATGCACGTGAAATCATGCGAGATGAGGACTGATTCAATTTCAGTTTGTGTGGGATTAAAAGGAGTTTTCATTTTTTTTCTGCTCACTGGCGGGTTTTTTTTTTCCACGGGGCCGTTCTTTTTTTTGTTATATTGTTACCCGGGACAACCATGCGACACGCTCGGGGATCCAGTGTTCAACGGTGGGTTGAACTTGTTACGGTACCAATACCACCAACACTGATAACACTCTGCGACTGGAGTGTCTGCAGTGCGTCACTTTTGTTGAATTTGCGATAAAAAGCGATCGAAGGCCTCAAGCCTAAAGTGTGTCAATTTGACGCCATTGATTATTGATGGTGAACCAGACCTAATTATTTGCCGCATCATTATTGGAATGTTGCGGACTACGCGGGAGTGAGTAATCGCGCGTTTAAGGCAAAACATTTCGTTGAAGCAGGGATTTTTTTTATGGCAGAAACAAAATTAAGTTTGAGTCAGGAATTTACTATTTTTGCGAATGACTATTTATATAGTTTTTTTTTCATGCACTCACAAGAGAATTTTTGCGAATGGAGAATACGGAAAGCTCGGAAACGCTGGGGCCTGCGTCTGTCGTCTTGTTACTTTTACTACTTCAGGTTTAATATGAGATAATGATGAAAGATTAGGTTTTGATTTTTTTATTGATCAGAGAGGGGTTTTAGAGGAGTAAAATCTTCAAGTGTCCACATGACACAATTCTCAACTGATTGATTCAAATTTTCGTTTACACGTATATAATATGTATAAGTGTAACTAAATGAGTTTTTCCAAAATTTTTAGTTTTTCAATTTTTGGAATTTTTTCTCACAAATGGCTGAGGTGAAAAATTGAAAAAAATAGTAATATTCAACTACAGCATAATCATTGAGGAATTTTTCAGATTTTTCGAACCATTTATTCAAAATATAATGAGACAAATGATGCAAAAAATCGAAAAAAGACTTACTTCACGGATATCCAAGTACTTTGGCTATTTTCTCTCCTGTGAAATGAAATTTCACAATTTTTTTCAGAGAAAAAAGTTTAAAAAATGCATAGAATCAAGTTTTTCAAAAAGCTACGATTGCAGCGTGAAGACGCTTTTAAATATTCCATAAATGAAAAAAAAAGAAATCTATTTTTTTCCATTTTTTACATTAAAACTAAAGTAGTAAATTCATTTACACTGAACTTTCAGGAAAATTCGGCCTGGAATAATTCGATTCCATTCATTTTTCTTATGATTTGATGAGTAAATTAATGGAAATTACGCTGTTAAAAATTCTCGTTTGAATTTTCCATATTAAATCTCGAAAATTTTTGTCCTGTTTAATTTCCACTGAAATTTCAGGAAATCTTATCATTGAAAAATCAAACATTCCATTGATTTTCTGTTGGAATGATTTAAAAATCACTAAAATACTTGATTTTTCGGTTCAATTATTCCGTGACAATTCGGGAAAATCGGGAAAATTCAGAGAAAAATTGAAAATTCATGTCATTTTATTTCTAAATAATCATGTTCCATTGGAACTTCAATCAAGTTATGAAATTTCCGTCTCACTCCGACTAAAACTCGTGAATTACCTTGAATCCTACCTAAAATTTGAAATTTCATAATCATTTTTCCCCTAAATCAGATTCAATGTCCCTCTCATAAGAATTACTCCCATATTTTCCGTGAAATTTCAAAAGATTTCTAACAGCGTATCATTTTACTTCAATTATCCAGTAAAAATTGAGAAAATTCAGGTCATCAACATATTCTCGATTTTTTTTCCACTTTTTTGTTAAGCAAACTTAAGAAATAGAAGCAAAATTATGGGAATGTTGTTCTTGACTATGACTTATCCACAACAATTTCAAGAACAACACTCTCATAATTTTTCATCCATCTCTTAATTGTTCTCGCCTGATCATATCTAACAGACGCGAGTTAATGTAACTTCTTGGTAAATGACCATGGTGCTATGACATCTCGCACTACACAACCCATTCACGCAGTCTTATGAAACAGTCTATATTTATGCTGCACTTATGCCCGCAGTACCACCGAGTGGTCTGAACCACTGCCGAGTTTACACAGGATAATAGAAACGCAGTGAAACTATAAATTCAAAATTCCTCCATTTCCCCTTTCGTATTCACGGATCAATTAATTAATTAATTAATAACAATGGCCAATTCCGGGGGGCATTCGGATCAAAAACGTGGGACAGGGCCGGCGAAACTGCCGCGGGCCCCGACTCTATTTTCCTCAACTTTTTCGTTTCCCTCATTTCAGCTGTAATTTTGATATAAATATTAATTGCAATCAATCGTCCCACCCATGGAGACTAAAAAATACTCCTCCCCTGTTTCTCCATTCACTCGATTATTCAATTGATGAGTCAATACATCGATTACTGGAGTTTGAATTATGATGCGGAAAGAGGGAAACCGCGTGAAGTGAGGCGACACCCTGTGGCCGTTGTATTACCGACCTTGAACTTGCCTGGGCGTTGACAATCGTATTAATAACTCGGAAAAAAACTAATTTGCCTGTAGCCAACAGTCGCGAGCTATGGGTCAACATCGTGCGTTTTTGTTTCGAAGAACACATTGAAAAATTGAGGGATTTTAGGACGAATTTGTGACGAGGAAATATTGTCTTCATTTTTTAAAAGGAATTATTTGTGTTTTGTCACTGATTTTTCAGTTGTTCACGTCTTCTCATTTGTTATAAAGATCCCTAGGGGCACGTGGAGTGAAATGGTGGAGTAAATTTTTAACAAATAACACTTCCACTGATATTTCAAGGAATTTTGTAATTGAAAATTCATAATTTCATGGAAAAATATGTGGGAACTGTAGATTTCAGTTTAATGTTTCGGTGAAAATTCCTGGAATTCCAAGAATTCTAAAGGAACTCCCTGAAAAGGCAATCGAATTCAGACCTTGAATTCGATCTAAAGGGAAAAAGTCAATGGAATTCAAGGTCTTTCCCCGGAAAATTCAATCAAATTTTTTCAACAGTGTGGAATGTTTTCCTACTCATAATTTCTATCAACATTTCAATTTTTCCCCATACAATTTAAAATTTTCCAATTGAGTCGATCGATAAAGAAATAAAACTTGAATTTCCTGCAATCGCTAGACAAACTGCACTGCAATACTTCACGACAGAGTAGATAGTACATCTACCTAGGTCAGTCATTTATGTATTCAGCAGACTTCGTCTAATGTCTCGCTGTCTGACGTCGCAGAATCGTTTACAGGTGTTATAAAACAAAAAATCGATATTCTCGGTTCTACCTCCACAAGTTCCAATCAACCTCAAGACTGGTAGTGGTAGTTACGCTTCAGTTACACTCACCCAGTCTTCTAACCCCCGAGATATATGCATTACCATTTATCCGTTCACCCCAAGTGCTGGGGTGATGTGTAGAGTTGTTGTATACGAATTGGCCACGTCCGTGCGGTTTCAGAAAGAATGATCTCGGGAATTTCCCCTCAGAATGCTCGAGAACGGACATAAAAATGGTATTGATGGAAATTTCCACAATGAATTGCCGGGGATAACTGCCGATAGTTTTGTATGCAATGAGGTGGTGGTCACCCTGAATTTTGCTGGCGAATGATAGCCAATCAAAGCTGCAGTCTTAAAAAAATTTGGCTGAATTTTTCGAGAAAAGACCTTGAATTCGAATTAAGGGACAAAGTCAATGGAATTTTAAGTACATTGTTAGAAAAAAATGAAATCTCATGGACAGTTGGGTATTAATTTTCAGGACAATGACACTGATTGCAATTTAGGGGGAGAAAATCATGAAATTTTAGGTTTCGCTGAGGTTTCAGTAAAATTTCAGAATTAAGCAGCATAAAGACGAGAATTCCTTGATTTATTTGAATTTCCAATCTAATATGAATATTCAAAATCTGAAATTTTATGATTTTTTTCCTCCTAAATCGCATTCAGTGTCACTGTCCTGAGAATTCAAGAATATATTGACCGAAATTTTCAGGTTTTCTATTTATTTTCAGAGGAAAATAGAACGGGAAATTTATAGTTCTCTTTGATTTTTCCACGAAATTCTGAATTCTCTGGGCCTTTCTCATTTCCTGTCAGGGAATTCGTCATAGAGTGCTTTAATTTAGCCATTCGGTGGTGAATATTGACTAAATACTTCATAATTAGGGGTATTATTGGCACATAATGGTGATACATCGATACACCACGTTTTTTGGTGAAATACCTTCGATGAACTTTTGATCAAAATTGATCGACAGATTATTATTATTTATTCCGATATTTAACTGAGGATGGAATGTTTAGAGGAATGGTCATAAAATTTCAAGTTTTAGGAAAAATTCAAGGAAATTCATCATTTTTCCGTGTGAATGAGACGGAAATTTCACAAGTTTAGTGAATTTTCAAGGGAACACGAATATTTAGGCATGAAATGATATGACTTTTCAATTTTCCCTGAATTTTCCTGATTTTTTTGAATTTTCACGAAATAACTGAACTGAAAAATCAAGTAGTTTATTGATTTGCAGGTCATTCGAACAGAAAATCAATGTAATATTTCATGTTTTATTAAGATTTCCTAAAATTTTAATCGAGATTACACTGTGTCTGAATGAAAGCACTCTACGACTAATTCCTAAAATTCTCTAACTGCCGAATAAATTTACATCAGACATGAATTCATTCTGATGATTCATTTGGATAACAGGGCTTAGTGCAACCAACAGAAAGAGAACTTATTTTATTGAAACAAAAGTTATTGACTTCAAATAAACCATTTTTCTGGGCGTGGCCATTGTTTATTTCCGTTCCTAGTCCTCGGTAATTCTGGAAAAAAATGTCCGAACTATTTGGGTATCCTTAAGGGGAGACGGATCCCCTTTGTCTACATCAAATCTTAGAATTGTGTTTTCTCCCACAATTATTAATTTCTATCTATGAAATTGCTTTATCCATTCGATTATCGCATTGTTGAGTCAATGAAGTAGTTTAGCGAATAAAAAATAATTATTGGAGGAGAAAACACAATTCTAAAGATTCATATAAACGCAGGGGTTCCGTTTTCCCTTAACTAAAATTAGTAAAAAAATTCCATCCAAGTGGATGCCACTCAACGGATAATGAACCGGCAACACTGCACAAAATGCACGGCTACATAACACTCCTACAATGCGGTTTATTTTTCCTCATTCACTTGTGCTCTTCGTTCTGAGAAAGCACCGATCGATTTTGCAAATTAATCGACTGCCGTTTGGCCAATCCCATTGTACGTCAATGCTCAGTAACTTTCCGTTATCGCTGACTCGTTAACCGCTCTCTAATTAATAATAAAAGTTTGTGGGCATTTTGTAGTACAACGTTCAACGCTCGTGCAAACCTCTTTTTTAAGTTTTTTTTGTTTGGAAAAATGGCCTAGTGATATTACCGCGGTTTGTGCAAGCGCTGTGGCTCATCAATGGGTCACGTATTGATTTTCGTGTTGTTATTTTTTAATTTATTTATCGGGGATGGATGGGCTGGAGTGAGCGTTTTTAGTGACAATTCCATTCTGAAACTGTTGAATATCAGGACTGTTTGGGGAAATTCTGTTTGGGGCATTTGGTCGTTTTGTACAGATTTTTCAATCTCAGAGATGTGAATCATCTGTTGAAGATTGCTCCTGAATTTTAATGATTGGGGAGTGTGTTGGCCTTTCGGAAATTTTAATCAGTTTCTTTGGAACAAATTGGTGAAACATTTTCAATCGCAGAATCTATCTATCTTGCAAACTTATACTATGCAAAAAATACTGCAATAGATTATACTATATTAACCGACGGCGATAGCTGTGTGGTTAGAGCGCGGGGTTGGTATGCGGACGACTCGGTTTCGATTCCCGGTGGGGGGGCCAAAATGTTTTTTCAAGTTTTTACTAAGTTTCATGAAAGCACATCTGTTGAGTGAAAAAAATCGAGTCGCCTCATTTATCAAAGAAGGGAATAATAACATAAAATATTTTAAACTTGAAATTTCAAAATATGCAGTTCCTCCTTTCAATTTCTGTCGGTTTATAAGTTTTCTTCATCAGAAACCGATTGATTTCTCCTCCCGGATAGATCAGACGTCAAATGTGTCATATTATTCGTCAAAAACATCTGACATTTTACCAGAATAGACTCTGCGTAATTCATCACCTCGAATGTGAATAAATTCTCGATTTATTCATGTAATGTCGTAATGATGTTGATAATAGCATCTCAACCCAAGGTATTTTAATCCTGAAACTCATAGGAGAATAGCTCTATGAATAAGGGATCTATTTTTCTATCTAAAGCTAATGCGTGGGTGTTGTAGTAGAAAGATGCATGAAGAGAACCTCCTCTGGGTTTTTTTTTCTCTATTACATAAATAGATCTGTCCCTCCCCACTCACACTTACTTTCCTATGATTTAATCGAATAATAATGGGAGTTTTCTCATTATTTTGGTTGTAGATCTTGAGACCTAATTTGTGCATGGCTACCGTAATTGTTGGCTAGCTGGCCAACGAAATTTTAGAGCGGCAGACGCAATCCAGCAGCCTGTATCCGATGAGTGTAAGTACAATTTCACATATTTACGGATATTTCAACCTACAGAAGCGCAATGAAATGCTGTAATTTGCACGCGGTTATTCAGTCGGTGAATTATTCCAATTTTAACTCATGATCATTGGCACGCGTGTTAATTTTGTGTCCTGTCAGCTACACGCAATTCATTTGACATGATAAAAGGAAATTAAGATCAATAAGCACCAGGGACACCCACGAGTGAGGAGTGACATTTGTAACGCCGTCTTTTATTCTCAGCCGTGACCGATGCTGTTGACCCTACAAACACTTTACAATTTACTAGGCTATGATACCCTCCATTACACCGAGAATAAATTTTATTGGATCAAAAGGATTGGAAGGGGTTTAGTAACTTTGGCTGGTAATTTGGAAATTTTGCGAATGTTTGGGTTTAGAATCACGGGAAAACAATTTTTTTGTTTTCAGGAACATTTTTTTAACTGATTTTTGGGAATTCATCGGGAATTAGTGATGATAGTGGATACTGATTAGAATAACTGTGATGTACTTTGGATATCTTTCAATTTTTATAAATCCTCACGAATCTACGAGTTTTTCCATTGATTCCACAGCACATCACATCGTTTATAATTCGCATGGGGATTTTCAATCATGAAGTTTTTTAAATTAAATAGCCTGAAAATTATCGGAAACAATACGCAGACAATTAGCAGTGTTATTGAAATTATATTTTAGGAATAATTACTTTTTTTTAATATTCTGTTCTTGTGGATAAATAAATGTTGAAAATGATGAATATTGAAAATGGTTTAAACTTTCGTAAAATTCATTTCTTCATAAAGATGATTCCAGGGAGAAAAATTAATTGATTATAAATTTCTTATGACTTATGATCATAATCTATAAAAATTGAGAATTTTTGTACTAAGAAAGCTTCTCAATTTTTTAAATCAATTTGTCAAATATTTCCTAATAATCTAACATTGACAATCAAATTTCTTGCATCAAAGTGTAAATGATAAAATTATTGCAAAATGTTCAGTAATCTAAAGTTCAATTCCGCTGGAATAAAAAAAAACAAATTGCGAGACAAATTGGATATCTTCAAATTTCACGAATCTACACTTTTATAATAATTAGCACGTGACTGGCAATTAAAAATATCCAAGTAAAGGTTCAGAATAAATGTGAGGATTCTCAATTATCAAATTTTTTAATCAAACAGCCTGATAATTATCTGAAAACATATATAAACAATTGACAATGTTTTTCGAATTACATTTTGGAAAGAATCCAATTTTTTAAACATTCTCTTCTTGTGGATAAATATTGGAAATTGTTCAAACTGTCGTAAAATTCATTGACCACTAATTTTTTATGCATCAAAGTGTAAATGATAAAATTATTGCAAAATGTTCAGTAATCTAAAGTTCAATTCCGCTGGAATAAAAAAAAAACAAGTTGCGAGACAAATTGGATATCTTTAAATTTCCGAATCTACACTTTTGTAATAATTAGCCCGTGACTTGCAATTAAAAATGTCCAAGGTTCAGAATAAATATGAGGATTCTCAATCATCAAATTTTTTTAATTAAATAGCCTGATAATTATCTGAAAAAAAACAATTGACAATGTTTTTCAAATTACATTTTAGAAAGAATCCATTTTTTTAAACATTCTCTTCTTGTGAACAAATATTAGAAATAGTGCAAACTTTCGTAAAATTCATTTCTTCATCAAGAAAATTTCACAATTTTTTAAATCCAATTTGTCAAATGTTTCCTAACAATCTAAAATTGAGAATCAAATTTCTTTCATCAAAGTGTAAATCATAAAATTATCGCAACATCTCCTGTAAAAATGGCCAAACAAATTGGATATCGTCAAATTTCAATAAATCCTCTCGAATCTACCCTTTCACCCATTGACTCCTCTCTCACTTTATTTATATTTTCGATTATCCAGGCTAGATTGACAGGAGGTCATATGGTGAAGCAGAGGCGGTTTATCGGCAACACAAACAACAAAATGATTAATATAAGAGAAAAGTCATTACGTAAAATTTAAATATTCGGAAGAACCATGTAAGTAGGCAAAAGCCATCAGTATTTACCTCCCTAACGAGCCGACTCCTCCCCAGAATTAACAACCTGGAAAAATTCCCAAGGAAAAAATGCATTAGCTAATTATCTCCATTCGAACCCTTCAACCCATCATAATTTTCCAGTTTATAGTTCAATGAAAGAAGGATTTTTAAGAAGAACGCTCAATAAAGCTGCGACGGATCTATCCATTGAAAGAGGTTGAAGAAAGCTCTTAATGGATCCCATCCATTGATCCATTGTGATTGAAACGTGATTGATGTTTTCATTTACCAAATGCCCTCTTTATTATAACAGAAGGTCAGAATAAAAAAGCGTTAAAATCCCGATGCATTGAAGTGAAAAAAACTTTTATACAATCATCAAAATCCCTTACAGGTTCTTTTTTAGGTACATGAGACTGGATTATTGGAGAATTGAATATAAAAATCGATTTATAAGGTTAATGGAAAACCAAAGGAATTATCGTGATATATTACTGTAAATATATTTTCTACGTATTTGTGAGCAGCGATTAGTGAGAGATAAAAGGTGCATAGTCAATTATTCAGTGGATGATAAATAGTTATTGGATTATTTAAAGTATTGGATACGATTGGATGGTGATTCAGCCACACAACAAAACTATTTCTATTATTTTCACTCGAATTTGTGTGCCGTCGTGGCAGTGTTTCATCATAATGGTGAGTAATCATTTAATCGGTTATTCTGATACATTTTTCTTAGTATAAGTACCCAGAAGTCCATGAGATCTCTTCGTCATTTCATTCCACTGGGATAAACAAGTTCAATTGTCAATTAATCACTACTTTGTCGTAACAAATGTACACTGTTGGAAATTTTTTGAAATTTCAGGGAAAATATGATGGTAATTCTCCAGAGTGATATTGAATCAGATTTAGGGAAAAAATGGGTATGAAATTTCATATTTTAGGTAGAATTCAAAGAAAATCATGAGCTTTCAGTGGGAGTGAGATGGAAATTTCAAAAGTTCATTGAATTTCCAATGGAACGAGTATTCAGATAGAAAATGATATGAATTTGGAATTTCATGCGACAATCATTTGTTAAATTTTTAATGAACGTTCGTCGATTTATTTGATGGATCAAATTTAACAAAGAATAATTGTAAATTGAAATAGATAATTGTGGGATTGTTTCCAAATGTATACATGCTCTCACCATCTAGTTTCGTAGTCAAGTAATTAATTAGTTGTTAAATGTCACCTACTAGTTATGAAAATTCAATAACTAGTTAGTAATTCATGTTTTGAACAACTAATTGGTGGAATCCATCAAATAATTTTCTCTGTGTCCCCTGAATTTTCCTGATTTTTCTGAATTTTCACGGAATAATTTAACTGAAAAATCAGAATTTGATTGATTTTCAGATCATTTGAACCGAAAATTAATGGAATATTTGATTTTCCAATGAAAATGTTTTCTGAAATTTCAATGAAAATTAAAGACAGACGAAAATTTTTAACAGTGTATTGCGCTTTTGAAAGTCACATGGATGGAGCGATTTCATAGATTTCTGTCACCATAAAATGTAAAGATCGTACAGCATGAAGAATGCGACCATTGTCCCTGTTTTTCCCTCACATGCTGTAGTTTAATTCAAGGTTATTGATTTTCCATTCATTTAGAATGGAATTAAAGGGGATTTAATGATACAGTTGAATTGTGCTATTTAATGATAAGAATGCTCGTAATAATAAACAAAGAAAATGTCGCCGGATATTTGGGCCATTCGTTAAGCCAGTGGTATTGATGTGAAATCACTAAAGTGTGGCCACGCGGGAGTGGAAATTTCCGTTGCCCCCACGTAGCTTGTGTCATGTTTCACCTATACATATGTATAGTGTACATGTACACATATCTATATATAAATCGCAGACAGATGCTTCTCGCCCGCGCGACTGTGTACATAAACTCGTCGGGTTGCCTGGTTCACACTACAGTATATATTACAAGGTTCATGAATTTCAATGATTGCTGATACAATAAAAAGATTGAATGGAACCACTGGAGTTGGGGGAATTTATTTTCAACGATATTGTCATGTGCAACGAGTGGAGTTGACGAAAAATTGTTCAGAGGATGACAGCTAATTTTACGGTCCAAATTTGTCGAGCAAAATGTAATTTAATAATAAAAAATACTGAGTGAAGGATTTTTTTTGCGTTTTGTCAGGTAAAAAATGAGTCGCGGGAGTGAAAACCACATCTCTTCGTGCAGCGCAATTTCCCGCAGGGGTTTTTTCTCTCTTTCCAAAGCGTAAAAAATAATTATCAAGTTTTCATTACAAACTAGCGATAGATTAATTAATACTATGTTATTTTATTTCATTTTCTTTCCATTTCCGTCTTCACAATTAGATTAATTCAATTTTATTCATTCTTATTATTATATATATTTTTGTTCCTCAATTCATAAGTTACAACATCGAATGAAGAGGAATTCCCTATAAATCACGTGGGAATCCAGATCGACAAACAATTTTCGATAATCACACCTAAATTTTTCATTTCTTTTTTTTTCTTTAAATTAATTAGTACCAATGATCTGAAAATGTGAACGAATATCAACATGTTACATCCCTTTGATATCATTTTAATAGAACCGAAGAAGGAAATTGCAAAGAGAAATCGATCATCATCAATCAATATCAATAAAATGAAAGAATCTATTTTTCTACGTTTTCGAAATTTTTCAAATGGTTTTCTCCTTCTTAAAAAATGAAGGGAGATTAACATTTTTAATTTCTGTGATCGTATTCCGTTTATAGTAACAGGAAATACGTAACATGCAGGGAAGGAAAATCAGAAATAAATTTTAAAAATCGATTTTTCAATCTTGAAAATTTCAAAACATTTTTTTTTTTTAAATAATGAAGAAAAACCAATGTATTTTCTTTCTATTGCCTAATTCTGATGGGAGAAAGTGAAAAGAGGAAGAAATTGATATATTTTTTCGAATAATTAACCAATACCCATAAATTCAATTCCTATCCTCACATTTTCAAAGAATACATAAAAAAAATAGCAAAGAATTAAAATCAGCGATGAAAAATGTTATCCCATTACTATTATGTAATTGTTATTTATGCAGTTCAAAAATGAATTTTGTTCTCTTGTAGTTCACAAAATTAATCCACAAAATACAAAAAATTCGAGATAATGTTTACCGTTTCAATAGAAACTATTTGTCAGTAAATTTTGTAGCGCAAGCGTATGAAATTTACTGTCCTTTCGCATTTTCCCTTTTCGTAATTATTTTACCACTTTTCCCCCCTGTGTAATATCCCCAAACAATGATGGAATTACATGTGTCACTAATCCGCCTTGAGTTTCATTCCAAGAAGTTGGACGCGACTTTATTAACAGTCTGTCAGTTACCTGGTCAATTGAATACTTGTGACAGTTGCATATAAAACTCATGCATATCTGACGCACATATTTTGCTGACTCATGTGTCAGGCTGCCTAGGGCCATTCCAATCGAATGGGTTAGAGGAAATTAATTGCATCGGATGTTCGAGTATCATATGAATGAAATCCATTTTTCAAATCATTTAGTTCTAGAATTAATTCTGCTTTCGGCAGCTGTTTCGATTTCAATTCTCGATTTATTCCTTCATGATTATTTGGCTTGTGTATTTAGGGAGCGGAATGATTTCTCTTTTATTGTGAAAAATGGCAATTGCATGGAGAATATGAAACAAGTGTTTTATAAAATTTATAATATTTTTTTGTTGTGCTTTTCTATTTTATGATTTTTTCTATGAAATAAAATCATTACATAAGTTCTTCAATAGGAATATTGCATCATTGGCTTGTTAATGTCTCGTTTCACATTTATAATTTTTATTAAGGCCGTATTTCATAATATTATGTATGGAAAAATTCAGTGGAAAGCCTGTCGTATTTCTCATTAAAGAAATCGTTCTAACGATTTTTCTGCAGAATTGTATTATGGGAAGAAAAATGCTATTTTATACTATCATATTACTGTATTAAAATGGCCATATTATAGTATAGAACAAATTTTTTTTTTCGTAGAATACTACGAAAAACAATCTGTTGTAGAAAAAATATAAAAAATTTTCTGTAATTATTTTTGCCAATTACTATTGAAAATAATGAAATTTCTTCTGGGGTTTGCATTTTCCAAATTTTTCTGTAGATTTTATGATAAAAAACAAAAAAATTCGAGTGAAAAATCTGGAAAACGTTATGCCCACGAATTTTTATAAACAATATGCAAAGAGAATGAGCTAAATAGCAAATTTACTAGAAATTGTCAAAGAATAGATAGAATGTTCAGAACTCCAATGTATTTCTCATAAAATCCCAGCACAAAGTCACTAGAATTTCCCAGCTAAAGCGCCAGATTGTGCCATTTGCATTTTTTGAAATATAAATGGGAAAAATTTAGAAAAAACTGAGTGAATTCTGTATTATCATTCTCTCACAGACTCAACTAATTTTCACCCTGTTAATTTTCCCAGTATCAATATTTGAATACATCCATCCGAAATTCTCTCCGTAACTTTCCCCAACGATGAAGAATTTTCAATTTGCGGTTTTTTCCAACATTAATATTACCGAAGAATCTGTGTGTACCAAAGTAGTGGGGTAAGAGAACAGGCGGAAGTTGTGGGCTCCATTAATTACGTGCAGGGTGCCGAAAATGTACTTGTAACACCGTACCAACTTCGACTAGCACGATTAATCTCGATCCGGTAGACGCCCAGAAGAGGTGGATTGATAAATTCATGCGAAAACTGGTGAAAAATATCCCCCGGATGTCTAAGCAAGAAAAGTCGTTTCAGGAGATTTTCGTGATGTAGATGTGTCTTATCCAGAGAATTCGAGTTTATCCATTCAATGGACGATTGAAATAGCCTTTTCAATGTGAACAATTTACATCGGTATATTTTAAGACAAGATCACGATGTGTCAGAGTCAATGAGATCGATCAATTGCAAGCGTGACATGTGCAAATGCATGGCACAGAGTTTAATCAAGTACTGTCAGTGGTACAATACAATCACTATCGATTTCGTTTATAATAGGGGCGTCATGATTCTATTGAATTCATTAGGAACAATCTGTGGCGTGCGGGTACATGAGATATTTATGAGGAGCCTTTGTGAGGGACCTTGAATAAAACATTCCAAATTGAAATTTCGCTGCAGAAAAAAATTGTACATTGTGATATAAGGGCGATAGGCTGCCACTTAATGTCTGAATATCCTATACTATTTTATGTCGAGGCTAAAGTAAAAAATGTGACAACATTTAGGGAGGGGGGGCGCAAGAGGGGTTCAGGGGGGCTACGCCCCCCGGCGAGGGGGGGTTTGAAAAATAATAAATTTTCAAACCTCATTATCATCTTCAAACTCCATAATCAATAGGATTTGAATGGAAAAGAACTGTCTTCTACAATTTATCGATAATTTTTGATTGAAGAAAAGCCCAACTATTCCAAAGAGAAAAGATTTGTGAAATACAATCATCTCATTTTAAACACAATTCAGTCTTCCACAAATTTTATCTAATATTTCTTTCAAATTGTCAATGCAACATGACTATTCAGAAATAAAATGATATAAATTTTCAATGTTCCCCTCAATTTCTCTGACTTTTCCGAATTCTCACGGAATAATTGAACCGAAA